GTTTTACATGTAAGGGAATGAGCCAATTTACCACTCAGACATTAAGTCATGAGGCTATAATGGTTTTGTAAATATAGTACCAAAAAAAAAAAAAAAGTGCTCAAATTACATTATCGGACAATACAAGTTGCTACAAGGCTCCTGTAAAGGCCCAAGCATTGAATACCATGAGGGGAATGGAGCTGCTCACAGAATCACAGGATGGCAGTGGTCGGAAGGGACCTCTAGAGATCATCTGGTCCAACCCCCCTGCTCCAGCAGGGACACCCAGAGCACAGGGCGGCATCCAGGCAGGTTTTGAAGACCATCAGAGAAAGAGACTCCACAGACTCCCTGGGCATCCAGTTCCAGGGCTCTGGCACCCTTATAGTAAAGAAGTTCTTCCTCACGTGGAATTATGAGCTGACTTTGATGTAAAGGAATAATCACATACACAAAGCCACCCACAGGCTGATTAGAGAGGTGATTGTGTTGAAGGTGGAGAGGGAAATAAGGCAGAAACCCATAAAAGCCACTCGGTAAGGAGAATAGCCATTCTGCAGGAGTTTGAAGGACAGCAAAGGCTCTCCAGCTTGGCAGTTGCTGGCAAGACTGAAGTGATGAAGACTGCAGTCCCAACAAAACCTCTTCCCCCTTTATGGATTCAAGGTCCATTCAAATGTCAGTGGAGCCTGCAGAGGCTCAGCTTTGCTTTTGCATACTATCCTGATAGATGCTCTGCTTCATCTATTGGCAAAGTGCTTCCCAGGACAACTTAAATAAGCAGATACGCTATTTATTCCTCAGAAATCATATCATGGAGAAAGTTTCTTACCTCATAGGTGACATTTTACATCAAAACACAAAAGATGAAGAGAAAGAACATAGACGAAGGAGGAATGGCTCTAAGATAAGGAGGATTGGAATAGTTAAGAGTTTTACTTAAGACCTTTCCTAGGTAAAGTCAGTACTGAAGAATATTTGCTGCATTTTAAACCCAATTACTTTCGCAGATATGGAACGGAACATACCTAGCAATTAATTTGAATACATTAAAATATTTAACCTATAAGTGCTCAAACACTGACTTCTTGGTACCTGGTCTGTTTGTTTCAAGCTTGTTCATTATTTGATGGGGAAAATACTACATGACAGTTCCAGCTCCTGTATCCTGCCACCCACAAATGGCTAAGGATTTCTGAGAAAAAGAATGCAACTTCAGAGATGTCACTTTCCTCAGTCATTGGCTGCAGAGCACATTTATCACAGAGATGCCAACTTGTACAATTCACATCAAGAATTTTGGAGTTACACAGCCTGTGAAGCACTTTATGAATATCCTACATCTGATTTTGCTGGGGGGGGGGGGGGGGGGGGGGGAGAGGGAGATGGACTGTAAAAAAAAATGCACACGTCACGACTGACATAACTCAAATAGTGCACATTTATTCTGAATGGTATTTCTAAAGAGATTGAGAAAAACAAAAACATGCTCCTGATGTACAACAAGGGCAATGATATAGATTTAAAAGTGAACCATCTTATTTGTAAATAATTTGCTCCCCCTGTAACTGAACTTGTAACATTGAGAATGTATCTGTCAACTGCATACAGCATACCTCTGACTACATCTTAACTCAAGAGATCAAGGGTGGTCTTGATCAAACTACTTAGGAAGCAGTTGCAGATTAAGAAAAAATATCCAAGTCAGCAAACACTTACAAAACACACTTCGTGCATAGCAGCTGACCCTGGATTACAACACAGGGAAGAATATAACAACACATGTTGGGGGATCCAATTTCTACTAGACATCACAGGGCACCATCAAAAATTAACAAAATATCACATAAGTTTGTTTCAATTGTAACAGTATGTCATATTTAATTGGCAGGTTTAACCATTAGCTGCTTATGTAAGCTCAGCCTGTTTCTGTATACACAAAATAAATTCTCCCCCTTTCCCCTCCCCCAAAATAATGGATATCTTTCCTGGATGATTCTTTTCTCCCCTGTACCAGAGTTTCCACTAGTAGCACTCTTTTTGGGTAATATCTTCATAGTTAAACTGACAGATGACAAAACCAGTTGCAGAGATTCATGAATAACTCGTATATACACCATTTATATTCTAAAGCTCTTACGTCACATACATTTTTCTTGCTAGATCTTTATCCCAAAGAGGAAATACTTTTTCCCCCCACTGAAACTCCCAACATCAAAAAATATCTGTTGTTCATAAGCTGTTATTTTCAAGCTAGCAGGAGGTCCTGCTGCAGCAACATACAGAATAACAGAAGTTCTCGACAGTAATCTTATATCTCACTCAATTTCAGTGTTCAGATACAGCACTAAGATACAGAATTCTCCTCCCATACCCAATATGGTCAATACACTAATAAAATACAACTGTTTGTCATTCAGTACTACTTATCCATGTACTTATCCATGTCCCTTATCCATGTACAGGGACACAGCTTTCTAAAAGATTTGGTTTACACCTTGTATTCAAGGATTGTTTTCCAGGATGGGAAAACTCCCATTCTAAGAACTCCTGGGAAAAGGAGTTCTTAGATTTGTGGTCACTCTCCTTTCCACCTCCTACAAAATACTCTTTCAGAAGCTGTGACGATGCAGGTTTGCTGCAGAACAGGAGCTCTAAGAATTTTTAGGGATACATTCATAGAACGATGGCAGCCCAAAGCAAAAAGAGACAGAAACAAAAGTTAATCCAAGTAAATTCGGACATCAGACTCATACTTTTAAACCTGAAGGAAAACTGTGAAATACATTGATTTGTGGAAGCCTACAACAACAGCAAATTCTAAGAGTTCATATCCCCACACCCATCTACTCAACCCAAACACTTATCACTTAGTTCTAAAAGAATGAAGAGCACTTTGCTTGGCACCAGAGGCAGCTATGGTCTGAATTACAGCTGTGCTGCACAAATATCCTCAAATACAACACTATCTCCCTCCACATAATCCTCTTGGTTCAATCTACAGATGGCCAGGGAAACTATGTTGGCATATAACAAGCTAATTGTGCTTCAATATATCCCCTTCTAGAAATAGGCAGGAACTGCCAACATAACCAGTGCAGGCAGGTCCTAGCAGCGCTAAAATAAGGTTTTCTCAAAACTAGGTCCTCTGGCCCAGGAAACAGTTTACATCTTTCTAGCCAGAGTCTGCTAGAGTGCTGCAAACACAGGTACACAGGCCATGCAGAGAGGCTTTCATTGACAGAGATCTGCCCATCATTACAAATCAATTAGTGCAAACACAGCAAATAGAGAAGCCATTTTCCAGCATAGGTCTGTCAAGATGCACCCCAAAAAACACTACACACCTCTGGGAAAGTGGCAGTAATTCTGAAGTAACTTGTTTGGTCACCCCTCAGGTAATGAAGGCTGTATAATATGGACCGAAGGGTACCCTCCCATGCCTCATGCGCAACTCCCATCTTGAAATCCTTGGTTCCCAAGTTACAGTATAATGATCGGGCAGCACCTGCAAACAAGATGTATGCTGCAATGTGCACTATAGGTTGGAGGCTTTCAAAGCAGATGAATTCCAGATGCAGATTTAAACTTTAAAAAACATTAACAGGAAAGGAATACAGCTTAGTATCTTAGAGATGGGACAGGGTGATATTGTCTTAGCTCAGTGCACTTTCTCAGATGCTTGGAGAGGAATCCAAGCTCAAGTTGGTATTAGCATTGGCATACATAAAATTCCTGGCAGCAGTGCACAGAAAGGCGCACTGATATTCACACAAATAAAGCATGAAAGGATGCAAAGCAGAGCTTAGAAGAATTTACTGTAGCTTTGAGATTACAGTACTAGGAAGAAGTCAGTCAGCCTATTTTTCCAAACTCATAAAACCTAGTATATGCTGCTTCCTCTGGTGCTTCATGGAGCACCCTGCCAGAGAACTGCATTATTATCACTTAACTGGGAAGGTGGTGGGGAGTCTTCAAAGGAGTAAAACATGCAGTTCTTAACCATTTCCTTCCCAAGAAGCATATAAACACAGCAAGCCAAACAGATCCCAAACAAATCCAGAAAATTCCTGCGAAGTTATGCAGTCAGGATCAGATTCTTGTTTGCCTGCTCAGTCTTGCTGCCTGGTCTCTTCAACCCTTGCCCCATCTTCGATTTGGCACCACAGATTTAGTAGCTGTAGCAAAAATTATCTGGAAACAGGTGCTCACCGATATGACCAAAGCAGGTAAAATGGTCATAATCACCATTGCTATCCCAACAACACAGGTAAAACTGACTCTTGATAAGCCCTACGCCATTTTATTCATTTTAAAGCAAGGATCTTTCATCAAGACTAATATTTTTTGAGGTGACTCTTGCCAAGACCATCCTGAACTCTTACTCTGGCAGAAGTTTGCTGGGAGTTGGGTAAAAGAAAATAAGGAAAACCACAAAGATCACTCTGAACCCTCTTCTCAGTTAAGAAATGTAGCACCAGCTTGGGTGAGGAGTACTTTTAAAAAAAGCATTCAAAAGATGAGCCCAGGCAGAGTGAAAATGTATGGTAAAGTAGCCTGCCCTTCTCAATAAAAGATGGAGGAAAACACTATATTCAAAAATATTGGAAAGAACTAAACATGGTTTTTGAGACAGGGGAAGTTTTAAGAGGAAGAATGGGAACTACTGATTTAACATTCAAAAGTATGCAGGGTGGTGATGCTAAAGTACCCTGTAAGTTATAAAAAGAAAAATAATAATGTAGAAGTCAAGGACAAGATACTGTTTTTCCTTTCTCTTCTTACATTTACATTCTTCTTACTGAAAAGAAATTTCTCTGATACAAACCTGCCATTAAGAAAACCTGCTCAAGCCCTCCACACCTCAAACTGAAGAGCTCTGCACACCTCTTCCCACCATAAACAAAAATTAGAAAGAGAAGAAGTTTAAAAAAAAAAAAAAAAAAGACAATCCTTGGAAAAAGCAAAACATTTTGTTGGAGAGAGGTCAAAAAAAGTTAGGACGATGAAGGGGAAAAAAAAAACCAAAAACAACAGGCCTCTCTTTCCTTATTTGGCGACAAGCAAGTGCAAGAAAGTGTTCGTTGGGATTTTGTTCAGTTGTCGGTCTTTTGCACATCTGCATTCTGGCCAAGACAAGTGGCTTTGAGGTTTTTCTGCAGCACATGAGCATCTGCTGGTTCTATCCTCTTGTAGTAATTTTTCTTCGTCTCAATGATCTCAAAGCCAAACTTTCTGTAGAAGTCAATTGCTGACTCATTGCTGATCTGGACATGCCTGGGACAGAAAGGAGGAGAGAGACACAGATATCAGAATTTTCGGTGGTATAATATGCTGTCTCCACATTCACGATCGTTAAAGGATAAAGAATATAAACAGGATATGAAGAAGAGACAACTAAACAGAGAGAGGAACAATGGTGTAGCTTTAACACTTCAGGACTGGAAATTTAGGTCTTCTCAATTTAAGCGTGCACTAACACAGTTTCCAGATGGCCTTTGGCAATTGTTCTGAGAAGAAATGGCAAGTATTTCTTTCTGTGAAGCTGTTTCAAGGAATGCACAAGGGGAAATGGGTGTAAGTTGAAACACAGGAAGTTTCATCTCCAAGTGAGGAAGAACTTTACTATGAGGGTAACAGAGCCCTGGAACAGGCTGCCCAGGGAGGTTGTGGAGTCTCCTTCTCTGGAGGTCTTCAAAACCTGCCTGGATGCCGCCCTGTGCCCCGTGCTGTTGGTGTCCCTGCTGGAGCAGGGCTGTTGGACCAGATGATCTCTAGAGGTCCCCGCCAACCTCAACCACTCTGTGGTTCTGTGAGCGTACATAGCAAAAAAACTGAAGTATTACAAGCTCAGTAATTTCAACTTTTCTTAAAAATCACAGATATTTTATGGAAATACATAACCTACTTTCACTGTAGAGTTAATTTTTAACTTCTTGTAGTAATACTCCTCAGAAGACCCATAAACTCTAGTCTAAGTGTTGATCTCTAAGCAACACATTGCTGAAGGTTTTAATGGGCTGTTTGACATGATTTTAGCTCTATGCTCATTGCTGCTTTCCCTTCCTCTTCCCATAAAGCTATGGGGGCACTGTATGCGAGCTTATGAATCACTTTGTCGTGACAACATGCTGCATAATCACAGAACCAAAGCAGTTCTAGAAGCACGAGCAGAAAAATAACAAGAAGAAAATCTTAATATGAAGCCTTAATATTAAGCCCTATAAAGAGCAAATATCTAAAAGGGAACTTCATGGTGATGACAAATTTAGCCAGTGATATCAAAAAACATGCCTAAGTAGCATATTATGTTCAGTATGTAGATCACAAATAAAACCAGCAATAAAAACCAGCAATAAAACCAGCAAGGTGCTAACAAATTTGGTTATGCCTAATTCTGGGAGCTACTGAACATCACACTAGAATCTTACTCTGGTGATGGAAAGAAAAGACTACGTAGGACTTGGTTTTTGCATTAAAAACAGCAAATGATTCTTCCGCTGTGCACACAGTACCATGCAAAAGCAAAAAAAAAAAAAAAAAAAACACACACACACACACCCACCCACACCCCACCACCAACAACCAAACTCTTCGGAATGTGGAAGATTTTTCACCTCCCTGCCAGAACAGGGCTAACCTTAAGGAGCAAGTCACTCTGCTTAGTGATAGCAGGGTATGAAATGCTCCTCACTAAGCATCTTATAAAGTTCAGAGCTCTGGATACAGTTCCATGGTAACATAAATTCATCGAAGTCACAGCTGTTGTGGGCCTCTCTATACCAGTATATCCTGCTTGTAGAGAGGGGAATAAGTAAGAAACCTGGCTGAGAGGTAAGACCTGGCCCAAACCTCATCCAGCTCACTAGGCAGTCATAGGCATCAGTGTACTGGAAAAGGCATAAGAATGAAACCAGCAGAGAGAAGAAGCAAAGCTGTGGCTTTTCTCACTTGCATCAGCTTTAGTTGCTATGGATTTCCTGCTAGAGTTTGTTCCATAGGGATCTATTAGGATGGCAGTGCCTTTTTAAGCAGCTCTGTCCTTTCCCCTAGTGCTTGCTCTCATAGCTGCATTACCCCAAGTGCTCACACAGCCATACAGTGGATTTAAAAGAGAACCAGAACACAAAACCCATTTTCCCAACTGGATCAGGTCACCGACCCAGTTTATTGTGTTGCTGCACAAATAGCCAACCTGGTACAACGTTAAGAACAGGAATAAGCAGTCAAGCCTGCATGTGAATCTAGAGTTTCACATGTGTTTGCAAACAAATGTCATTTGACCTACATATTAGAGTCATGAAAGCCAGACAGCAAATGCAACAAAACTGGATAAAAGACTTGCAGCATTTTCCACTTTGTGGAGAACATTTTTCTTTGTTGTAAAGTTTTTTAAAAAAAGAATAAAATATTTAAAATATGATGTGCTATATGATCCTGCTATTGATCATTCATTTGTAATTAAACTGCTTTCAAACTCAGCAGCTTTACAAAAGCCTTTATAAAGAAAGTAAACTCTTAGCTTTCTCAGCAACGCACCACAAGCTCAGAATGCCATCTTTGGCTTCCCTACAGCACTTACTAGACAAGATGGTTTTTTTTTCCATCCAGGACCCCATTGAAACTGATGCTATAATGCTTTAGTGTTCTCCTCCCTTTGCTCCCAAATATGCCTCTGCTATCTCTCCCAATATGCACAAGAGTAAGTCATTTACTTACAGATAGATGTTGTCAAAAGTGCCATCTTTTTCACAGATGTTTAAGACATGATTCAACATTTTAGTTCCTGCAAAGGTAAAACAGATACTTAACAAAACCAGAAGTGCACCTAGGTACACTAGGAAGTACACACTTCCTAAGTGCTTTCTTGAGCAGAGGCAGGTAACAGTAGGTAGGCTAAAATGACTGAGAATGTGTTGTCGGAGCATTTGAACTATGCTCCAAAATCAAAGAAAAAATAAATAGTTTGAAGATATCATCCGTGAATATCAAAATCTGCCAGCAAGGTGGAACTGCAAAAATATTAGCTGCAAGGAAAACACCTTGCAAAATCATCACTGGAAGCAGGAGATACCTTTAAGTTTAAAAGAAAGGTATTTTGAGCAGCTTTTTTCTTTGTAAAATCTCTTGAAAAGGTTTTAAAATAATTCTGATTTCAATAAACCAATTCTCTAAATAATATATGATCTTTGCATTCTCATACATGCAGAATGGAAGTTTATTGAAACAAAGGCAAATCAAATACCATCCATCTCGACTTCCCATCTTTCTGACTGTTCACAAAAATTAACTTTTGTTTCTTTGAGGGAAAAATGCAGTTAGCTTTAAAGTCTCAAGCACAGCTCATGATACGGTCAAAACAAAATAGAGAATCAGTGACAATATTGTTAACTTTTTCTGATTAGGGCAATTGTAAAAGTAATAAAGTTAAATTTTATTTCCAGTTTGTCCAAAGCAAATGGATTACTGTGAGGTACCGGTTATTGATTTATCCTATGGATTTACCACAATGAAAAAGTTACACATTAGTACACATACAGGCATAAAATAGGTACCACTTGTGAGCACCATTAATTAGTAGTACTAGAAAGCTAAAATAAATAAAAAATAGAACAACAACATTTTGGAAGGGTTAGAATACGACCTGATTATGGATATCCATGTTTTTTTTTTTTTGTGTTGTGCGCTGGCTACATATCTCTGACAAATTAATTTATATTTTTGTGCTTTAATGTTTGCATCTATAAAAGCAAAGTATTTTACATCACAGGCTGATAATGTAAGTAAAAGAATACATTGAATCCTTAAAGTTCTACAAAAGAGTCCACTTCTGGTACAGGCAGGAAAACACAAACCTATCAACTCATGCTTTCCCCAAAAATATCTTCCTCACCGCTCACTCAAAATAAATAAACAAACAAAAACAAACAAACAAAGCAAAAAAAAAAAAGTGTCTTCAAAGTTCTCCCTTGCTCAAAATATCCCCAAATTTTGAAAGAGCACTGAAAAGGGTGCAAAACAATGAGGTTTTTTGATAACTCCAGATAGGAAAGAGCTCTTCCTTACCTATCCCTAGCCTTCGGTAAGGTGCCAGGCATCCAAGTGTCATGATATACAGTCTCTTCTGATTCTGAGAGTGATCCACCCTACAGCACACTGCTCCCACTGCAATATCATTGAAATAGGCTGCCAGGGAAAAATAAACAACAAAGTATTACTAGTCCCAAGTCTCAAATTGCATGCATTTACAACTCTATCATTTGTGCCCTTGATCCTCTCTCCCTCCCCATTGTCAATTCTTCTGTACCAGCCACAATCTATGAATTTTGAGTGAAGTTTCTAATGATGCTCTGACAGACCAATTGGCTTACCAGAGTTCAAAATAACTAGCAATGACTTCAGGATGCAAGCTGGTAGCACACATCTGTTGTAACAGAAAACAGATGGATTTCCAGTAAAATGGAAACAACACTTTAAAAAGCATTTAAAGCTTAGGACTGCAGCTCTTTCTTGGAGTTCCCAAACAGTTATTTTTCATTAATTAAAACAGATGAACCTATACAGGATTGCACTGATAAGCTTAAAGCCACCACAGCCCACAGTTACTGGCAAGAATATTTGTACCTAATTTGGCTAGTTCGCCAACCTCCAGGACATCCTTGTAGAACTTGTCATTGTAGCTGACAGGAAAAATGACTTGATTTAGCCGCTTCAGCTGCTTAATGTTGTGTGGAGTCACGTCTCCCAGCTCGATCCGGCTACTGGAACAAATCAAAACATGCTTAATATCCAATACACTCTTTTGTTCTTTTCAATATAAAAAAAGTTATATTTTATTTATTTATACATCTACAACTGCCCTATCATTTCAATGTCTAGCACACAGCTAACTTTTGCTGGTGGCTGCTTTAATTACAAAACGCAATTTATAATCAGTACTATACACTCAGAAGTTTTTCAGGCCACACTTGACACTGAAATATAATATGAAATGAAAACCACATCTGTGGCTTTATTGGGCAAGAGACACAAGAACATTCAAGAGAATATTCATCTCAGTAGGAGTACTGACTTTGGTTCTGTCGCCTGAATTTTCTCGCAGATCACTAAGACCACAGAAAAAAAAAGATGGGGAAAGTCACACAGCTAGAACAGAGACCAAGAATATAAAACTTCTCAACCTATACTTTAAAGACAGCTTTCTTTTTATCACTGTATAAAATAAGACTTATGCTTAGATGCAAGTCATTACTAGACACCTGCCACTAAAAAGCAAGCATTGTGCACAATCGAGCACTACACTGTCAAGGTGATACGTGCTCGATTACAATAATCTTTGGAGTCATTCTTAATATTGACCGAGAGGAGAATAGCCATGGCAAAATGGTAGTGCTGAACTATATTGAAATGAAACATATCAAGCATCTCCGAAAAGCAAACAAACAAAAATCCTGAAGAGATACTATATATCCAGGAAAAAAAAGACAAGTAAAAATGTTTGTGTTATCCATATAACTTCCTGGCTATAGAAAAATACCCCATGATGGCAGACTAACCAAAGACTGACAACAACATGAAAAATGTAAGTAGTTACTAGCTAATCAAAACTTTTCTCCAAATGGTCATCATTGCATGAAGACAGGTACAAATACAGGGCATACTGAGCTATAAACATCCACAATTCCAGGTTTGTCTGTAGCCTTGCTTTACCTAGTACATATAGATAGACAGATTGTTTTCTGCCCAAACAATTGTTACAGCTACCATTTGCTTTCCTTTTATTCCACATTTATGTTCTCAAAAAGACAGTTTTATAAAATACTTGTAAGGCAAGGTCTGACAACATGCAGTAGCTGCTTTCCACCTCTAATGTTTTTTGTGCTTAGTCACGTTTTCCAAATATGCTGATGTCTAGGAAAAAACAACACAGATTAGCTTATACGATCTAGTGAAACAAAGAAGAGATAATACTCAATAATTTTTAGTTTTCGAAACTGTACTAAATAACACTGAGATCTATTTTATTAATTGACCATAATTACATGTCAAACATAATCAATTAACCATCTAGTTATCATATCAATTTTAGTTAATCACATCATCAGGGAAAGGTATAAATATACAAAGACTTTCTAGGCATTGTACTGCAACAGTGTACAGCTCCACACAAGCAAAAGCGATGGAAGCTTAATGGCTTATTTCAAGAAGCATAACTTGCCCTTACACCTGCTTTCCACTTTTCTTTCACAGAAAGAACTAATCTTCATTTCTGCAAAGCTGCTTCAGCCTTACATATCAAAGATCAGCAGTGCCCATTCTTCTACATGACACAAGATAGTAGACTCTACCTAGTGAGCCCTGCAGAAGATTGCAGTTTGCAGCTAGGATCTAGCCTCAATTAAAGGAGCATTGATAATCTTGTACCTCTCCATTACATTAATGTATTCCAGCTGAGTACTCTAACTACTTAAAATTAATGGAGGGTATTGGAATATTGATCTTTTCTGACTTCGCTGTCTTAACATTTTATCATATATTTCCCATATAACTCTTAAAAAGAAGCTCTTTGGTATCAGGCATCTCATACCAGTTTGGGTAGTTGCAGGCAGTTCCTAATCTTCCCATACCATGCTGCATAGGTCAACCTTACCCCAACTGCAGAGAGAAATTCTAAACTATCAGTCCCTCCAGTCTGCCTAGTCCTTTTAGGTATATGACATTCTCTTGAGAGTGACCATGACCGACAAGCAGTACGTTCTTCATTAGCAATCTCAACCAAAGCAGAAACAGCAATATTCTCCATTTGCTTGCATCTCAGCTATGTGAAGATATGGAGGCACAGTATGCCTGCATATGGGATGCGTACGCAGCAAATAGGATGCAATTCTAAAATTTCCAGCTATAACAAAATTGAAGCACATGGGCTTGTGCCTGGAAAGAGAGTTGTGCCAGAGTAGAGCATCTTAATAATCCCATAGTCAGAGCAGGGAGAAGTGGCCACAGCCTTTTTTGCTGCAGTGTACATCAGACAGGACACCCAAAGGAGCAGGTCTCAGCTTCCAATTAGATCAAATTAGCTGCAGACTAGGAAGCCAGTAAGAGTAGAGAAAAAACTCACACTTGCACTCGTTTCTTAAAAGCCCACCTCTTCTGTTTAAAACATTTAATAAACCTTTGGGCACTAGGGAGAACATCATTATATTTGCAAAAAAATCAAGCTTCAGTATATCACTGAAGCTTCCTTGCTTTATCGAACTCCCGAGCCTGTGGTAAAATTGTTACGCAGCAAGCCTCTCTCTGCGCTTTAGCGAGAATCCCTGACACTAACAATTGTCAGCTTCTGTGCACCCACACACGTATATACTTTAAAACTAGTTAGTCACCAATGAAGTGAAAAATCAGGCATTAGAAGAAAGTGGGCCAAAATATTTTAATGAAAAGACAGCAAAACAAGGAGACATTATCAAGGGCTGCCAAGAAGCTGAATCTTTACCAAGACTGTTTCAGATGAAAAAGAATAAGAAAATATATTTAAAAAGAGGGGAAAAAAAACCAAAAGAAACAAAACCACACAGGACAGTCTGCAGCTTCTAAGAGCTACTGAGCCAAGACATTATCTCTCAACTTGGCATCACAACAGAGAAAATAAAACAAAATAGAGCTTAACAGCACCTTTCAGCCACCTCCCTTTGAAACTAATTCCTAGAATTTCTGGATTCCCTGTCTCTTTCCTCCCCTTCTTGGCCTCTCTTGCCCCTCCTTCTCCTACCTACTCCTTCTCCTCCTCTTTCTCATTCTCCATCTCTTTTCTTCTCTTTCTTGCACCATCTTTCTCTCTACCCCTTTCTCCTTCACACTTCATCTTTCTCTCTTTCCCTCTCTCACATCTCTTTCCCTTTCTTTCTCACCCATCTCCCTTTCTCTCTTGCCCCACCTCTTTGTCTCTTTCCTTTGCTTGCTCCATCTCTCTCACTTTCTCACTCCATTTCTCATCTCTTCTCTCTCTTTTCCTCCCCATCCCCCTTCTCTCCCTCTTCTCCCTCCCTCCTCTCTCCTTTCCACCCTCCCCCTTCCCCCTCTCCCCTTTCACCTCTTTCCACTTCTTCCTTCCCTTCCCTCCTTTCCCCCCTTCCCCTCTCTTCCCCCTTCCACCTCTTGCCTCCCATTCCCCTCTCCTCCCTTCCCCTCTTTCCTCCCTCTCCTCCTTTTCTACCCTTCCCCCTCTTCCCTCACTCCTTTCCACCTCTCCCCCTCTCCCCACATCCCCCTCCCCTCTTTCTCCCTCCCCTTCTTTCCCTCTCCTCTCTTCCCTTCCCCATCCCTCCCTTTCCCTCTCCTCCATCTTCTCCCTCTTTCTCTTCTTTCCCTCTCCCACTTCCCTCCCTCCCCCATCCATTACACATACATCAATAATGACTAAAAATGAGCACGTGGAAAGGAAGATTAGCATCATGAGACTTCATTCTGCCTAAGGACAGGGCAGCAAAAGTGCCATATGGCCTCCAATCAAAAACAAGGGAAAGCAGGAACTGCTGCTGAAAGCAGCACTCTTGGTGTCCTTGAGCTGCTCATTTCCACCCTCTTGCTGGCACAAAGGTTTGCTCAACCATGTGGTGAACCAACTCCAAATTAAAACCAAATTAATACCCATCAGTCCCCTGATTGTGTTTGCCACACAGCCTTCTGCTGCATAAGGAAGAGAAAAAAAATGCCAAGAGCAGAACTGAGCCTACCCCTATTTAAGTTGCTTCTGGAAGTGACACGCAAAAGGAGCAGAGGGATCAATCAGTGTCTAGATGCTTTTGTGCTCTATCCACACACAGTGAGAATTCCCTCTTTGAATCAAAGGACTGAAAGTTGTTCCAGACTACAAAAATCCAAGACAAAGCATACATAGCTCCTATAACAAAGAGCATAAAATGGCCACTCCGTTTTCCAGGGACTAATAACAACAAGTTTTGCATTTTTGGAAGATGTTTGTTAAAAGCAGAGGTATTTTCTCAAACTACCTCTTAGCCAGAATAATAACATACATCTGCATCAGTCAAACTCTGTTTAGGCCAGCCCTGTGTATTCTAATTCAGTATAGATAGTGTCAAAAATATTTATCCTTTACTGATGTAAAAGAGAAGGAAAAAAAAGTAAATCACATATACAAAGTTGTTTAAAGAGCCTGATGCACTCAAAATGGACACCTTAGGAGAGTATTTTATTCTATTATTCCAGTAACAGCTTTAAGAATATGCACATTTAGTACTAGTATCCAACATCTTAAATAGCCTCTCATGAGGAAGCAACAGTCAACTGTATTCATTTTAGGTGTCAAAAGTTCTTGACCAAGTCCATCACTTCAAGTTTCTCCCATAGTATTGCTTTTAACATGGAAGAACATGGGACTCTTGGCTCATTTTATTAGGCCTATTAGCATAATACCCAACAAATCTATACCCTTTCTAGGTAGAACACTAGCTTCTTAGATTTCTTCGTTTTCAAGGCTGTACCCAAGCCACTGTTTTTCTCACAGTTAAACTTTCTTCTGAATTCCATCCTAAATGAATACATACGCTCTGTTCTCCCATTAGGTTCAGTAGTCAGTATGCACCAATATATCCTTTTTTTTAAAACCTCTTTTCAGAGAGCTGTCATGCCCTCATGCACCTTTCTTTTAACGTCAAGCTTTTAGTCTCTCTCTGTAAGATAGGCTCCTGGTGTCTACCATTTGCATGCAAGCTCTTCTCTGAGCTCCTTCAGATTTAAATTG